TTGTTGTTGATCTTGATTTCGCTGAAGATTTATGTTTAATGTCATACAAACTCGGAAACTTGCAGGTGAAAACCAACAAACTGGCTGAAGAAGCTGGTAGCGAAGACAGGACACCAGGTGAACATAGAGAAGACGGAGGTGATGAAGATAACTAATGAACAGCAACAACAACAACCAGCACCAATCACCATCAACTGGAGAGATTTAACGAAGGTTACTTCCTTCCTTCACTTATCTAAGCAGCAAGCATCGTTTCAACTACAGGCAGTCGAAACGGATGAAGACGTCAAAGCCAGGCGGAATTGGAAAGACAAGATACTCCTTCATCAACCTGAAACCAGTTTGAAAATCTTCTGCACTCAGTCAGCGTGAAGAACAAAATTTGCATTTTCAACACAAATGTGAAGTCAGTCAGTTCTTCTATGCGAGTCAGAAACTTGGCTGGCGTGTCACGAAAAGGATTTACAACAGCCTGTTGCAGACTTTTACCACTCCATACTGAAGATCAAATGACCATAAAAGAATCAGCAACAAGAGACTGTGGGAAAAAAACCAACAGGCGAGAGCCGATCACTCAACAAATATGTAACATAAAATGGAGATGGATAGCGCATAATTTGAGGAGTCTGTCGAATGATTTCGCGCTCAATGCAGGCCATCGCTGGAGTGGAGTCCTAATCAGAAGCGACGAGTTGGTCGTCAGTGCGAGGGTGACATGAAGGAGGTCGTGTGGAGAAGAGGAGATGAGAGATTATAGGCGATTGTAGACCCAGATGAAGAGGATGGCAGCAAATAGAACAAAGGGGAGATGTGTTGTTGAAGCACTATGTTCCAAACGGAACCCAAGGGAATAATCATAATACAAGTCCTCGTTGTATCTTAGTACCGTTAATCTATGCCGAAAGCAATTTCCTACATTTTAATTTTCATCTGTAATGAAATATGAAGTTTCTGTAGCAATCTGGAAGAAATCCGACCAGAACAAGCTGGATTCAGGAAAGGCAAATCACGTTCTGACCAAATTGCAACTCTACGCATCATCATCGAACAAAGCATCGAATGGCAATCAAACCTCTACCTCAACTTCCTTCATAGACCCTGAGAAGGCCTTCGACAGCGTTGACAACGAAGTAATTTGGAAACTACTCCAGTACTACGGCGTACCCCAAATATTCATCAACCTTATTCAACAGCTGTACGACAACGGCACATGTCAAGTGATCCACAACGGAAAACTCAGCGAGGTGTTTGGAGTAAACACAGAAGTCAGACAAGGGTGCTAGCCTATTATCACCAATGATATTCCTAATTGTGGTGGACTGGACTGGATTATGCGTCAGACAGTGGGAAACGAGAAGACAGGGATATCCTGGACCCACGTGAAGAATCTAGAAGACCTGGATTTCGCGCGTGGATGATTTATGTTTGATGTCACACAAAATCGAAGACTTACAAGCGAAAACCGACAAACTGGTCGAAGAAGCAGCAAAGACAGTACTCCAGGTGAACATAGACAAGACGGAGGTTATGAAAATAACCAACCAACAACAACAACAGCAGCAGCAACATCCAGCGCCAATCACCATCAACGGGAGGGATTTGAAAGAGGTTACTTCATTCACTTATCTAGGGAGCATTGTCTCAACTACAGACGTGGAACGGACGAGGATGTCAAATCGAGAATCGGGAAGGCGAGAAACACATTCATCAACCTGAAACCAATCTGGAAATCTTCCGCTGTCACTCCTCAACATCAACAACAAAATTCGGATTTTCAATACAAACGTCAAGTCAGTCAGTCACTTCTTCTATACGGATGGATCAGAAACTTAGCGGCGGGTCACAAAGAATGAGTATTTCCAACAGCCTGTTGCACACCTTTATCAACAACTAACTGTCTTCGCTGGCTTTATAAGATCAGATGGCCGCCGGAAAGAACAAGAACCAACAAGAAACAAACTATGGGAAGAAACAAAACAAAACAAGAACCAATCGCCCAACAAATATGCAGGAGAAAGTTGAGATGGATTGGACACTCACTCGCTGAGGAGGCCACTCGCTGGGTGACATCGCGCGTCAGGCCATAGCTCGAGTGGAACCCGAAAGGGAAGCGGCGGCGAGTGGGACGTCAGTGCAAGGGTGACATGGAGGAGATCGTGTGAAGAAGAGTTGAAACAGTATGGACTAATATGGATGCAGGTGAAAAGTACAGCAGAAGACAGAAGCAAGTGGAGACGTGTAGTTGAAGCCCTATGTTCCACTAGGAACCCAAGGGAACAATAATAATAATAATAATAAAATATGAAGCGTGAATATATGTATTCAGTGATTATTATCCCATTGCATTTGTTCATTTTTATCAGATGTAGCTTGTTTTGACACAAAATACCTTGATAGATACAACACATTACTTAACATTTTCAAGTGGATTTGTTCCAACAACATTCACCATCTCATCAAGTAATTAATAACTGATTAATCTATACACGTAATCAGTGTAATGTATGCATCAATATGTGCATATTATTTTTACAAATTGATTCAACAACATTAACTAGGAATAAAATACTCTACTTAACATTAACATTGTTCACAATATTTGATTACACGTGGTGTATACACTACTGGTTAAATACCTTTTTATTAAATTTCGTGTCAATTATCGATTGAATGTATCTGTTAGAATTAGAATTAGTTTTCATTGAATATTATACACAGCAGGTATATATTTATATATGTCATATTTCAAAATGCCCGCTACTACTGTTCAATAGTGTTCAATGTCAGTTAATTGTTTATGCACTTGACACATATCACGAAACATTACCTTTATCTAAGGTAGACAAAAACACTGTATTTTGTTTGTTTGAAATGCATTAAAATATAATTTGTACAGGAATTTAAATAAAGGTTCATTTAATTTTATTAAATTTAGTATACAAATATTTGTCTATTCGTTAAAAATGTTTACTAAGTTAGTTTGTTAGTGTTTATGACGAATTAAAAATTAAGGGCTACATTATTATAAGTAAACAAAAATGATCTTAATGATAACGTTCGTCAATAAACACATCTTGTTAAATGGATAGATATGGCATGATAGTGCACGCTACTGACTGACGCATGCATCTGGAAAACACTAACGTCAAACAGTAGTGCTCACTGGCTAGATCTAAGTGGACTAGACACTAGAAAATCGGTTCATTCGTTCGGGGCTGAGTTCATCAACTATTATTATTATTGTTCCCTTGGGTTCCTAGTGGAACATAGGGCTTCAACTGCACTTCTCCACTTGCTTCTATCTTCTGCTGTACTTTTCACTTGCATCCATGTTAGTACATACCGTTTCAACTACTCTTCACACGATCTCCTCCATGTCACCCTCGTACTGACATCACACTCGCCGCTTCCCTTTCGGGTTCCACTCGAGCGTTAGCCTGACGCGCGATGTCACCCAGCGAGTTGCCTCCTCAGCGAGTGAGTGTCCAATCCATCTCACCTTTCTCCTGCATATTTCTTGAGCGATTGGTTCTTGTTTTGTTTTGTTTCTTCCCATAGTTTGTTTCTTGTTGGTTCTTGTTCTTTCCGGCCATCTGATCTTGAGTGTAGAGCTAGCGAAGACAGTTAGTTGTTGATGAAGGTCTGCAACACTGCTGGAAATATTCTTTGTGACCCGCCGCCAAGTTTCTGATCCATCCGTATAGAAGAACTGACTGACTTGACTGATGTTTGTACTGAAAATCCGAATTTTGTTGTTGATGTTGAGGAGTGACAGCGGAAGATTTCCAGATTGCTTTCAGGTTGATGAATGTGTTTCTCGCCTTCCCGATTCTCCATTTGACATCCTCGTCCGTGCCATCTGCCTGTAGTTGAGACAATGCTCCTCCTAGATAATTGAATGAAGTAACCTCTTTCAAATCCCTCCCGTTGATGGTGATTGGCGGTGGATGTTGTTGCTGTTGTTGTTGTTGGTTGGTTATTTTCATAACCTCCGTCTTGTGTACGTTCACCTGGAGTTCTGTCCTGTCTTTGCTGGGTCTTCGACCAGTCTGTCGGTTTTTGCCTGGAAGTCTTCGATTTTGTGTGACATCAAACATCATCTGCTACAGATGAATGCCGGATAGCTACTTGAGTAATTTGCTAACAAATGGAATCCGATTTGTCGTTTGCGAACTATACAGTTCCTGATGAAAATTCCCCAGTTTCCTTTGGAAATTAAAACTATTTAGATGATAGTGTGTGATTTGCTTGAGACCGTAATGATCAAGAAACACAACCATGCTAATTATGTAACGACAGAAGACAAGGGCCAGGCAACAGATCGTTTATTAAGGAAATCAAAGCATATTTATATATTTGCATGTACATTACTATGGATATTTAAACAAACAAACACAGTCTTCCGATTGGTTGTTTCTCACGTAAAGTTAATCTTTCATCTATTTGTGACTGTTTCTTGAATGTCAAATCATCTATATGTTAACTGCATCCGCCTACGCAAAGTCTGCTGTGGTCGGTTTTGAATCAATCTTTGTTCACATTTTCTCACGACAAATCTTGGGAACGTAAATATTGACGTAAATTACTGTCTACCAATTTGGCTAGTAGACAGCTCTCACCACAATTATATGGGCATATGCTTATTCACTTGTTTTCAAATTGGTAAAAAATTAGGAGTCGTATAGGATGGAATACCTAGCTGAGTTGCCAATATGATAGATATGACAGAAACAAGTATCTTTTATTTACGTGATTACAGTGACATGGTGAGCTTGCTAGAAACTTGATCCCTCATAACTTAGTTGGTGGAGCCCAGAAATGATCATTTGAAAGCCGCTTGTGCCATTCTTGTGGCGATTCAGATTTGCGTTCACCTCCAGTCATCCATCATCAGTACCTAACTCATCTATGTTATTATAGTACTTATTAATTTAATATTTGTAACATTATTTCGCACTCTTCTTCTACTTGATTGCTCGCCTCTTTTTTTCCTCACTCATATGAACACTGTTCTTAAAAGGTAAATTAACTCTTCAAAATTACTAATGTTTAAATCTTTATTCATAGTCATATATGATTTTTGCATTTTTGTAGTCGTTCTTAGACAATTTTATTCTTAATTGAGATCTTAAGAGCTTTTCGGTAATGACCAACTTGTTTATTCTTCCTGTTATGATGTTTGAGTCGGTGTGTGGGATAATATATTATGTCGGTAGATTCTTCCGTAGGTGCTCAAATCAGAAAAGTAGATTAAGTTAACATTAGGGCCATTACAGAATTTACAGAAAGTAGATTAAAATCAATGTAAACTGATATTACTGGTAATTTGACCTAGTCGACTGTGATCAAGAATACTGCAATGTGCTAACTAACTAACTACTGCCATTGATAATCAGAATGTTAACCATAGTAACAACAGCAATAGCACCGGAATGAGAAAACAGCAGAGAAGATGGAATGTTGAGAAGAGATCTTCAACCGTCGCAAACAACAGCTGAAATAGTTAACAGCAGGGTTGAAGATTTGATTATAAACGACATTCACAAAAGCTAAATCCCCTAGTAAGCTTGAAGAGTTAACACCTGATGAAGGTTAAGAATTTAAAAGCAATGGGAAGTACAAAAGGCGCCATAGATGCACGATAACTACAAAATGTAATTATTGTAAGTTTATAGGATAATATCGGCCCAAATTAGACAAAGTTAGTGTTACGTGAATATGAGTAAATATACCCTAATTTTTTCTCCAGTGAAACAGGTCGAAGAGTACAAACTATTCATCACTGAATCTCACTTAAGGTACACGACGAAAGCGTTCGTACAAATCGCTTTTATATGGGTAAACTGTGTAATGACAGTATGATTATGATTGTTATTCATCCAATGGAACATAAAGATTGAGCAGTGTGTCTTCACTTCACTCAGTCTCCGGGTTCCACAACTGTCCACAAACTTTCATTTCCTTTCCATATAACCTTCTCCGTGTCAACTTCTGACCTCCAACTGGTTGCTTCACAATGTGTTTCCTCCCGATAGCCCACCTGACATATGAATTCACTTGATGTTGTCCTCACAACATGTCTATTCCATCTCCATATTCATAGGTGTTAGGCTGTCGTCAGATTTGTTACCGGACTTCCTTGTTGATAAAAGGTTCAGTGTGGCTGGCCATCTGATCTTCCACATTGGCCTGTAGTAGCCTTTTTGAAATTCTTTCGGTGACCCATCAAGTCTTTGAAACCTAATAAACTTGGAAGATTTCAACGTCTGAAAGGATTTTTACTCACTTTTGTTCGCGTTCAACGCTACATGAATTGTGTTATCAATTTATTTATACGATAATACTTCGTTAAAGGAGAGAGGATAAACAATGGATAATATAGAAATGTCGAAACTGATTAATGCTTTTTGTAATCGCGGTTAGAGGCAGTCGTGAGGAACGTGTTAAAGTAGATTATGTGACTATGTGCAGTCGTAGGCAAGACATATCGAAAATCTCTAAGGAACTAATATTCTCTCAGAAGCTGAAACCCCAGTCATCTAGTATACTGCAGTCGATGACATCACTTCCAATCATCTAATACCACTGTAAAGGGAATAATAACGATTAGTCACCTTTAGCGCTTTGTGACTACACTGAAAACTTGATTGATAAAATTCCTTTTAATCTGACCATTAGTACACGGCTGGACAAAATACCAGAAACCAGTATGGCGTGTGCTACTGATAAGATTTATCAGTAGTATATAGACAGACGTTCATCAGCATAAAAAAATATCAAATAGCAAGAAGATAGATTTGATGTCAAAGAGAGCAAATGATTCAGCATTGCGGTAAAACAGAGGAGACGTGAAAAGGAAGACAAATAAACACACACATACGAAGGAAAGAAGTAGCACAAAACCGAAGATCTGTGCAAATGAGGATTTGGAGATAAGGTGTATTTAATCTCGTTATATAGGAATACTGAATTCCAAACAGACATGCCGTTACCAGGTCTCTTGTCTTCTACCGTTACAGCAGAGGTTTTATCGTACTAGGCACTTTTGCAAATACGTCTTTTTCGCACAGTTTTTTTTTATTGTTAGTGTATCCACTGGAATAAGGCCGATAAATACATAAGATAAGGGACTTTGATAAACCATGAAAACACACCGTCATTCACTATTGCGAAGGTACACTTTGTTTGCTGATTGTTTCACTTAGCTATACAGTTGACAAGCTGAGGTTTGAAACAATGCGAAACCACAATCTGAGTGAAAAAGCTGGCTGTTAGTGAGTGCATGGGTGTGAACTTATCCACTTTTGTGTGAGATTTATAGTCGTTATATACATATATATGTTTGCAACTCTTTAAGTTTTTATCATTGTTATTCTTTTTATTCTATTTTCTTCACTAAAGCATAGATAAATGTCACCTTCTTCAGTATACCACACGGAGATATGATAATGCTGGTTATCTAGAGTTTCGTGGAGGCGATGGAATTGAAATATTTCTTCCTCAACCAGCTCCTGTAAGTTGACGGTTATTTTGTGAATGATTATTGAACATTAGAAGTTTAATTTGTTCTCCTAAACCTTCCTTAGAGTCTTACATATATCTCGGTGGGTAAAATTATTTTACATTTATTATTATTATTGTTTTCTTTGATTCCTAGAGGAACATACGGCTTCAGCCACAAGTCTCCATTGCGTTCGGTTCTCTGCTAGAGTCTTCACCTGGCTCAAAGTCTGCCCACACACCTTCATCTCCTCTTCACATCACCTCCTCCAAGTCACCCCACCCTCGAACTGACGACCAACTCGCCTCCAATACAGTCGGTTTCCACTCCAGAAATGGTCTGGCGTGTGATGTCACTCACTTGATGGTTTGTTTCCTCAGAGTATGGCCAGCCAAACCACCTCCATTTCTTCCTGCCTATTTGTTACCCAGTCGGTTCCTAATGAGTTCGTTCACTCATTGCCAGAGATCCCTCTCTGTTGCTGATCTCTTCTGGCCGGCCATCTGATCTTGAGTGGTATTGAGCGAAGACAGCTAGCTGTTAATGAAGGTCTGTAGTTTGTTTGAGATGCTGTTTATGACGTGCAGTGCAAGTCTCTGATCCATCCGTATAGTGAGTAGCACTGACTGACTTCACATTGGAGTTGAAAATCCGGATCATATCTTCGTTTTGATACAGAGTAGGGCTGTTGACCTCCTGCACACAGACTTGAGAGTAGTGAAAGCTTGTCTTGCTTTTCCGATTCTTGCTTTGATATCCTCATCAGTTCCGTCTTCCTGTAGTTGAGACGATGCTTCCCAGGTAGGTAGGTAGGTAGGTAAAGGAGGTTGTTTCTTTCAGGTTCCTCCCATTTATGCTGACCATTGTATGTTCTTGTCCAGGAGTCTTCATCACCTCTGTTTTCTCTATGTTCGCCTGAAGTTCTATCTTCATAGCTTCCTATAGACTGATATCAGATAGTAGTGCTTGCTAGTCAGACTTGAGGGATCTAAACAACGGCAGGGTGTTTTACTTATTTGGTAGTAAGTCCATCAGTGCTGCATCAGTTTTGACCCAGCTCACATAACCAAACTGGTTCAAAACACCTGAACTCTTGTTACCTACTTGGGCCTTGAATTTTCATCTAATCACCAAGTATTTTTCAGACGATATGAACGAAGAATATATTAAGTAAAACTGAATAGGATAAGCGTACTTCAGTCCAACAATATTGCGCTAATTGGCAAGATGTCGACTGTTTTGCAGTAATATACATTAATAATTCTCCACTTTATATAAATGTATTATCCAGACTTGAAGTAGTACCATTTATTGGGACGAAATGGAAGATTCATTCGCATTACTTTGTAACAAGCCTGGTACAACCATTCACCTCCTTAAACTGTAGTTCTCAGGAATAAATACTTTACTGTTTAGAAATTTCACTTCGTGAATTGAAACATAAAACATGGATTAATATGTCATGACTATTTTTACTTATTCACACTTACCTACTTACTATTAGTAAGTAGTATAATACTGTCGATTTGAAAATAGTTTTCAGAAGCATTCAGCATTACTTTTCAATGATAGATTTATTTACGAAAGGAAGTATATCAACAGAGAGGAAGTTTGATGGTTGATGTTTTGGTTATTGTCTAGATAACGACGACAACTTCAAAATAAACTGACGTTTTAATGTACCTCACACTGGAGTATTTGGCGTAGAAATCTTCTCAGAACCGGATGATTCAATTTCATTGCTTTCATTGTCTTTTCAGGCTTCAGTATGAAGGGCCTTTTTTTGGCATCCTCTGTAATTGATGTGGCTGTCTCTCTTGATGACTTGGCTGTGATTGGTCGTTAGTTTGTATTAGTACCGATCTTTTCACTAACCTGGAATTTGACTTTGTCTTATATGACTTCTTCTTAATTAGTTGATAAATGAGACCTATATTAAATATTTCTGCTGATCGCAGATTCTTCTGAGTGTCAGGCTTCTAGTAATTCCCTCCCAATTTTTGGTCTGAAATTTGTACATTTCTTCCGTCAAATCGGTGCCCATAGTTGTCAGCATGCAGTGATACGAGGGAATGGAAGTCATGTCTTTTGACAGCGGGTTTATGTTGGTAGATTTTAGGACAAATTGGACTCCAAACTTGACCGATATAATGTCTTTCCAAGTTGACGGAATTTACGTCGTAGATGATGTTGGTTTTACCTTATTTTCATTGTTGTGTCTTTTGGTTGACATAGTATAGACGGAAAAGATTTTGTTATTTTGCGGGCAATATCTATTCCTAAGACTTTTCAGAGGAATTCTTAATGCATGGTAGGACGATTTACTTTGTTTTCTGAATAGATCATTTTGAATTAGTCGGCTGTGTCGGGTTAGATGTCTTTTGATAAAGTCTCGTGGATACAGGTTTTTGTTGAAGGTAGGTATACGATATTTCTCCTCTCCTCTCCTCAAGTCTGGCATTCATAACACTCATTAGGATTTTGTTGTCACAACATGATATCTTGTCAATTGCTGTTTGCAGTTGTCTACAGAAATCTTCCTTCTGCTGATGTGTGCTGTTTGTTTAGCATGTAGTTCTGGATGATTGTAACCTTTCATTTTGAGTTGAGTCTTTCTGTCATTATTCTAGAAGAGATTGGTTCCCACTACATAAGAGCTTTTGATGCTTTTGGTGACATCATGATGGCCCCTCTCTCAGTGTGCTCATGGTCGTCCTTTGGGCGATAGGAGTACATTATTGACTCTCCATTTACCAATTTGGAGAGTTCACTTCCATTCCATCTGCTCTCACAGATTCCGAGCACTTTTATACCTAAAGGTCTCATCTCTTTGGTGACAGGAGCAGCCTTTCCAGCTTCAAAAATTGTGAGGAAATGGAATGTCCTCATGCTTATCTTTGCTTTCATAGAAACTAGGAGCAGAATAAATAGGGAGAGAACTCATCACGGGTCAGGAGACTCTTGGAGATATAAGTGAGAGCGGAGAACTCTTTGCAGACTTCTGCGCCTCCAATGACTTGGTGATTGGAGGTAGCTTAAAAAAAGCACAATAACATACACAAAGCGTCTGGGTTTCACCAAATGGACACACCAAAAGACTTCATCGCAATTCTATGAAAGTGAACGCAGTATGCTGGACACAAAATCAAGTCGTGGAGCAAATGTTGACTCAAACCATTATCTAGTGGATGGAAATCTCAAGGTCAAGTTGGAAGCCTTCAAAGAAGCTGGAGATAGATCGCAAATCAAGTCCGATATCCAGAAACTAAAGGACGATACTATAAAGGACATACTCACTACAGTCATCAGAGAAGAATCGAGGACATTATTTAACAAAACCCTTATAGAGATTTTAGGAAGAAAGACAAGGGATAGCTTTTTGTGAACACGCAAAAGTGGATAGAAAGGAAAAGGATGCTAAAACAGAAGATGAACCGGTGCGAAGATGGACAAGGAGAGGAGAATCTGGCCTCAGTCAACAACACAATGAAGCAAAAGGTGAAGAAAGGTGTTAGGAAGGATAGATGACAACTCTACGGCATAGTGGCAAGAAATAATACTCTCCTCAAGTCGACAGTGCTACAGTATATTTTGGCTGTCCGGAATACTGTTTGTATACTACTCCTTTTGTGTGATGTTGGGCTGTTTTTGTGGTCAGTAATTGTTTGAAGTGTATGCGTTGATTTTCTGTATACTTGAAATTCGTTGGAAATGTATAAATTATTCTATTCCATTTTACTTTGTATCTCGGTTTCCCCGGAATTCTACGGCATTTCGCTATCTAGAATGAATTTACATTTACACTTGGCATATATGATGAAGATGTTTTTGGAGGTGCTGAGAAAATTGCCATCTTGATGGCGCAACATTTTACCCTGCTTCCAACAACAAATCAATGGACAAGTATACCTTTGGTCAGAGATACTCATCAATACTATAACAACATTCAGTAAGTTTTGTTTTTGTTTGTTATTTCCAAAATAAAATACTAAATAAATAAATAAACGTGATTGAATATTTTTGTAGTGGTTAACACGGGAGAAATCTAGACGGGCATTTCATCATTTTCGGTTACTCATGAATCAGTGTTTCTACTAGAAGTTGATTCCAATGCCTGAAGATGTAGGGTATTTAATTCTAGATTCGGTAGAACCACAACAAGATCAGCACAGGTTTAATTTTATATAGCTGATGACTGCCAAGTTCGACTAAAAGTGTAATCTGTATTCCATCGACACTTACTAAGAAATAAATATCAAGATCTTACAATATGTGGTGGAGTAAGACAAGACTACCCATTTGCAATTAATACTGTTCTCTGAGCTGGTTGGTTTAGTTGACGGAGCTTTCGTCGTCCTTCTGGACAACATCTTCAGCGCAATATTCAGCATAAAGTGAAATGATTTAAATTTCTTCATGAGTGATAGAATTGCTTATTTATGACTTGGATTTTAAACTTTCTGGTCACCTGATTTACAACAACATATTTGAAGACATCAAATTCACAAGAGAAGAAGAATTAGATAGCAAAATCCCATTTTTAGATGTCTTAATCAAGAGAACCAACACAGGAGATTTAGAAACACAAGTATATAGAAAATCAACTCACACAGATCAAACACTCAACTATACTAGCAATAATCAAGTTACTCACAAACGAAACTGTATGCAAACATTGTTTAAAAGAGTTCAGACACATTGTAGCACTCCAGAGTTGAAAAGAATGGAAGAAAAGTACCTACAAACGGTCTTCAAAAAGAATAGTTATCCACAAAATTTCATCAAAAAGTGTTTAAAGTTGAATCAAAACACCAACAAGGAACCATCATCAAAGACCACAAGAAAGTTCATTGTACCATACATGAGAAATATCTCTGAAATAACAGGTAGAATACTGCAACCGTTTACAAGCCACTAAAATCGCTTAATTCGATAGCATGCAAACCGAAAGATCCAGCAGAAAAAGGAGATAAAATTAATACCATTTACAAAATTAATTGTATGAACTGCAACAAACATTACATCGGCCAAAGTGGGCGTCTCCTTCGAATCAGAATCCAAGAACACAAATCAGCCGTGAAAAGACACGATATGTATTCTTTAGTATCAATGCATATAGACAATTATGGTCATCAATTTGATTGGGATAATGTCAAAATCTTAGACAGAGGAAACACCAAAAGTGCAGTCAGGGAATTCCTAGAAGCCTGGTACTCAAGCGAAAATGCAATTAACAAACACGTTAATATAGACGAAATATACCAACTAATGAAAAGTAAATCAGGTGACCAGAAAGTTTAAAATCCAGGTCAATAGAAAATGGTCAATACATATGTAAAGATGGTCACCAGGAGACGCAATTATATCACTCATGAAGAAATTTAAATCATTTCACTTTATGCTAAATATTGCGCTGAAAGGGGATGTTGTCCAGAAGGACGACGAAAGCTTCGCAACTAAACCAACCAGCTCAGAGAACACTGTTAATTGCAAATCATCCATCTGAGCTACAAATCTTCTCTATTATTTCAAAGACTACCCATTATCGACGATTGCATTTCAAACTGTCATGGACTGGATGATGAACTAGAATTTTGGAAGCGAGAAGGCAGGAATACGTTTGACTGATAAAAAGACTCTAGAAGACCTGGACTTCGCGGATGATTTAGTTGCAGTGCCATATAATCTCGAAGACCTGCAGATGAAAACCAACATGTTGACAGGAGAGACAGGACGTTAAGTGAAAATAGAGAAGACGGAGGGGATGAAGATAACCAACCAACATTAGAAAGCACCAATCGATATCAACGAGATAAATTTGAGAGAGGTCACTTCTTTCAGCAGGATCATTTTAACTATAGAGAGACACATATATAAGGATATCAGAACCAGTCAGGATCGGATATAGGTCTTCATTACACAGAAATCTGTGTGCAAATCTGCTGCACTGTGCGTCGGTGGCACAGTGGTTAGGACTCTCGCCGACCATGCACATGGTCCGGGGTTCGAGCCCCTGCCGGCGCACACCCGATATCTATGGTATGCCTGAATTTGGGCAACCGATATCCATGCTGAAAATTCCACACTTGTACTGAAAATACGGTGTGGAATCAAGCTGTAAATCAAAAATATCAAAAAAAAAGAATAATTGAATAGGATTTTCAACACTAATGCCGAATCAGCTTTTTCTGTGTAGTTCAGAAGCTTGACGCTCGACGGAAAACATCCCGACAAGGCTACTGAAGGCTTTTAATTAGCAGCTGCCTTCACGCTGCTCCATGCTGAAGATGAGATGACTGGTACCAGCAACGAACTAGCTAACAAGTTTGCAAGAAGAACTGGAGATGGATTGGATACACTCTAAGAAGACCGTTGAGTGCTATCACGTGTTAGGCACGCTTGAATGGGAAATGCCGAGTCAGGCGTCTGAGTGTGACATAGAGGAGATTAAGTTCAGAAGAAATGATAGCTTACACGCAGTCGTGTATCCAGCTAAAAGAGGACTATAAAGAACAGGATGAACAAAGGAAGTGCGCTGTTGAAGCCCTATGTCCCCCTTGGAACCACAGGGAGTAATAATAATAATAATAATAATGAATACTATCTGCAGTATTTCGGCAATCGTAGGAGAAACTCAGAGGCTGACTTTCTCGGTCTTCTTGTAATATATCAGCTGTAGTTGGAAAGGTCAAAACTGTGACTGATTGTCTCAAGATGATTTACATAGAAAACTATATACTACTGATTGACTGAGATGAGTAGTTGTACACCACTCACACCAACTGATACCGCATACTAGCCAGAACGGGTGATCTAAGCATCAGATTGTCTTTTTGCTCGTTTTGGGCCAAGCTCATCAGTGGTGTCGGTCGGTTGGTTTTTGACATAGAACTTTGCACATATATGCGGAAGTTCGAGTCGCCACACAGCTTATCTTTTCATGTCTTCCGCTCTCAATGGCCAGGTCTCACAGTCATAAAGGAGGATGGAGCGGACTGCTGAGCAGTACACACGCCCTTTGGTCGATAGTCGGATATCACGTCTACTAAGCCAGAGACGGCGTAAACTGGCATATGCGAACCTAGCCCTCTGTATTCGTGCTGAAATTTCGACGGTGGTGTGTCCAATCATAGGGTGACTAGAGCTGATTTACAGATGCATAGATACATTTTAGGCATTTATGTGGGAGAGGCCAAAGCATCCGTCTCCAGATGAATGGTTGGCTCTTCCACATAGTGGAGGAATTCGGGTGAACATTTGAGTAGGTTACACACTTCTATATATGTGGATGTA